TATATCTGCTTTATTGAGGGGAAGCAGGCCAAGAATAGGCCAATTTTGACGTTTCCGGATGTCCACGTAATTTCCTATTTTATTAAGTATCACCCATCAAAACCTATTATTTACTCACGTTACGTTATAAAGGAACTTTCATGTAGCCAAGAAAAATATCAAAGAGATCTACTGTCAAAGTGGAAATCGTGATTTATAGTACATGAAAATCAGGTCAAGGCAAGTATGTAAAAGCGTATTCTTTTCATGAGGCAAGAAGTAATTTTCTCTCCACAAATTCTGTTTGGCAAAATTTTAACATTTTATGTCGCCAAACGCGGCAATAAGCTTGTTTGACATCATTTATTGTACTACGTCGGGAACTAGTAGGCGTAAGCACGTATATATAGATTGCGCGCTACATGCCGTCACTTTTAAGTGCCACGCTGTGCGACAAAGATGTCGGGACAGTTCCTATCGGAAGTTTGGCTAAGGGAAGAAGGCATCTTCCAATGCAGAAAAGTTAGCTTTTGTGTTAAATAATCATATAGACCGAACCGCCATACACAACTTAGTAGTCTCCATGCCCTCCAGCCTTACAGCGACTTTAAAAGCCAAAGGACAATTGACATTGCATTTGTTGCTGTTTTTCAACGTTTTGTTGTTGCAAGGCATTTTTCTTCTCTGCTCACAGTTATGTTGGGTGTTAAATATTTAACCTGTTATAAAGTCGTTTTTTGATTTTGTGGTCTTTCGCAAAACAAATGATTTCTTAGTTAATAAATAGTACTGGATAGGCCAAGCTGTGCCTTATTTTGAAGCTCGGTTGTAGATTTGACGCAGTATAACTTTCGTGGATGCGGAGTTGGCGTTTCCTGCACCACAGCGATTTGAGTTCGCAGTTCTTGACCTTTCACAAGATAAGTCACAAACTGTACGTACGGCAGAATTAGCTGCAGCGTCAGGAAATTACAGTTTCCAGTGGAGGCAGACTTAGTTTCCCATGAGCAAAAGTATTTTAAGGCTACGCTGACACATAGTCGGCTTGTTGCTACAGCTTGTGTCTGTCAAGTCGACGTTTGAATGCCTTCAAAGACAGACATTGCGGTCGCCTCGAGCAGCTTACTTTATGGCTCCAACACATGGTTTGTAAAAAAACACTTTCTTACATCCAAACTACCTAGGTGTGCATGTATATTGAAGAAATGCTCCAGAATGTTGGTTGTAATGGCGACCTGGAAGAAGTCCTCACAGCTGGAGCACTGTCCAAACAACGTGCAATACGAAAAGTACTAACAAAGTCTCCGTGCAATCGCCTGTAGCATAGAGGACAGAGATTAGGGTTACCTAAAAGGGTCTCGTACGGCAGTAGTCCTTGAACTCTCACAAATTTAGTGATCCTTCTCTGCTCTTTTTCGAGGAGCTGATATGTCAGCTGCATCCATGATCTATAGAATAACATCGCATAATCGAGATGTGCACCAAAGAATTCGGGTGAGCGGTCTTCGTCGATGCCTTTAGCCACTTTACAACAGCGTGTAGAAGGACTTAAAATGGTCGTCTTCCAAACGCCGCGATCATTCTGCGTTCCGGCCTCTCAGAGCAGTATCTCTTTTAGTTGGCAGATAAGCACATCAGAGAGCTGATTTCGATTTCCGAGTCGCAGTATGGTGCATTTGCTTAGATTTAAAGACAGGAACCATCTGCGGGAACGCACATCGACCGACAAAGATTTTCTTGAGAGTCCGCCTCGTCGGCGGCATGGTGGATGACATCCCAGATTTTTGCATAATTCGCAAACATGGCACGATCACAATCCAAATCCTCTACACAGTCATCGGTGAACAAGAGAAAGAGGACCGGTCTGAGCACTGGACCTCGTGAGACTTCACTCTCTACGACAGTCCGTCTTGATTGATGTTGCTTTACACAGACAACTTGAGAACGCCCGACGAGAAAATTTTCCATCCATTTTAGAGCTGTGAGTCTAATACTCATCACCCCAAATTTTGCAAGGGACGCCGATGTGAAACACAATCAAAGACCTTCCTAAAATCAATGTAGGCGACGTGCGTAGTGCGTTTTCCATCGAGCACATTTCTCCAGCCTTATATCTCGTAAAGCAAGTTCGTTTCATATGATCTTCCTCTAAGGAAGTCTATTGCGCACTGAAGGAGAGGTTGTGGGTTGCCAAATAAGCCACCAATTCCCCTTCGATGGACTTCTCGATGACTTTACAGCAGACTAATGTCGGAGTGACGGATCTGCGGTTCGTCGTAAGTGTATGACTATCGCTTTCATAAAGCGGTGTAATATGGGCTGTTTTCTAGTCCGTGAGAAGAATCCCAGCATCCAACTATGTCTGGCACAGAAAGGGTAGTGGCTTGGTCAGTTCTTGGGCAAATTGAAAGAGCAACTTGGCTGGGATCTCGTGCGGACAGGGGGATTTGCATTCCTTCGAGTCCTTTAGTTCTTCGAAAGTTGCTTATTCTCAAAACACAGTATTTCGAGTAATCCACTCTCCCATGCTCTCATGTCTAAGTGAAATAAAAACTGCTTCTCTTGTAAAAACTGAGAAGAATGCCCAACTTTGTTTGTGCTGTCCGATATCTCCAAACCGCCATCATGCCTCATGACAGGAATCGGGTTCCTCCTGTGTGCTCTTTCGCAAGCAGATGTAGAGAAAAGTTGTATTTTGACGACTCAGTGGAACAGATTATTTTCGAAATCCCATCAGCCCTTCAAAATTAAGCCTTCCACTTTTTTCATTTGGACTTTGTATATTGTAAAGGCTTAGTATCGTTGTTTCCACAAAACTTCTTCCACTATCTTACTTTCTTGTTGATCTCTTTCCTACGATCCTGTGTTACCCACTGAGGTCGGTTGGATGTCATAGGCGTTGATAAGGGGCAGCGGTTCTTCATTTAATGTAACAAGAGGTCGTTCACTAATTCCAATCCTCAGCGACGTTCGCGGAGAAAAAAACACCCCAGTCTATTTGTGATGCTGCAGCTCTCATTTGGCAAAAGCGCCCTTGCCATATATCTGGCCTCGTCGCGTCTATTGCACACGGTCATGTCTTCAGGAAAGGGTCATTTTGAATTTAGTCAGGAATCTCTTACCGCTATTGATATCATTGTTAATAATGACACATTACATGTTTTAGGACTCTTGCATCTACGAGGTCCTTTCCAAGTCTTATTTGCCCATCCACATCTTTCCCTCTGTGCTTAATTTCTCCCCTCACAATCTTTCGTCAGAAATCTGACTTTTCATTCCAGGCATCGTGACCTTCACTGGGTACGGTGTCCCCACCAACCGTTTCCCTGACAAATAATTCGGGTTTCTTGATTCACATTTGTTTTGCCGCTTCCGTTTAAATCGCCATTCATCCTCATTAGGATTCTGTCCCGGTCGATGGAATGCTGCGGCCTCTCGACAGTTGTTGGTCATATTGCAGGCCTGCTGCAAGTAAGAACTCTCCTGTACAACTGTTTCGTCATCTCTGGCCCACTTACTACTGCGCGGCAGCTGAAATCAAAGAGAGTCGCCCGGATTCATAGTCGATAAAATACGTGATGAAATCTTTGGCCGTCTTATCTCTTGGATTTCGATCCCCTATCTGAATCTGCCAACGCCGAGTAGCTCACTACTTCGTAGCGTTCCAATTTTTTTTAACCACAACGCGCATAAATTATACGATAGCACTACGACGTACCCGCACATCTCTTTAATATACTTGTGCGCGGCAGGTTCATCCCTTGAATAACTCGCCTTGGATAGCTCGGATTTCCGAAACCCCTCCTGTGATCTCCATTCAGTATATTTTTCACGATCTTGTTCTTAAGGATTTCCAGTTTTTGATTAACAAACTTTAATTTCACAAAAGTTACGTACGAAAAGGTAAAAACTAGTGGACACCGACAATTTCTTTTCTTCATACACCTTCTCTTGCTGGCCACATTGCATTTTAGAGTGCTTATGTCGAACTTCACACCAGCATTGTTATTTACCATTTAACCATGTGTGTATTTTGCATTGAGAACGCCCCAGGATGTTTGACAATAAAACTATTAATAGAAGGTCCAGGCTTTGGGAATTTGATTTATTATGGCTAGTGTGAAATTACGTATTGAACAACGCGGAAACGTGGGCTACTTTCAGTGAGACTCGTCGAGACAATCACAACGTTGGCAATTGTTTTTATTTAGTTGTATTCGCGGTTTCCCATACTAAAGGTTCCAAAACTGATGCTCCATTAAATAAAAGCTAGATGTTATTGAACTTGGTTGTCCCAGAAGCGGGGTCGCCAGAAAGTTCATTTAGTTGCCTATTGAATGGATAGCACATTTTCTAGATTTTGACTGCCTTCATTTCGTAGGATGTATAATGTCAAAAACAACGGGCACTAGGATGAGTATTTCTGGCATGTTTAATGTGAGAATCGACCTATTGGGCTTCAAGAGGACCAGACGTTCTCGCTTTCTGGTCTGGCTTATGTTGATAATTATAGGGCTGCCTGTCCAAAAGACTGAAACTACCCAGAAAAGCGGACACCTTATTTGAAGCTTTGGTCGGGAGTACTATCGTCATCGGGTGTCATCTCTCATCTTGGTTTGTAAGATTTTTCCGCCCAGCGGGAATTTGAACTTGGAAAATATATATAGCCAGCTGCTTTGGGGCTTGTAGTGAAAACAATGATCTAAGCTACAAAATAATACAACACACATAAACTACTTGGCTCTAAGTCGGGGATGTTGCGTTCAATCTAAAAATACTGACGGAGAGAAAATGAGCATAACAACAAGGGTGAATTTTTGAACTAACGCACGAAGTCCTCTCGAGTGCTAGGATGTTAAAGAAATTGAGGGTTTTTTAGGTTAGCTTCAAAAAGTTCGGATTCAAGCGCTTGAAAGTGATTGATGGACCATAGACATCAAAAGCAGCGAAATCAGAATGGTAGAGGCAAGTAGAAACTGATTGTACTCTATGTAAGCATGCTTATTCAAACAAGAGTACAGAACACTTCAGGCGCATGTGAAAATGCAAAGATAAAAATTGGAAATTAGCATTGACCTGCAGACAGGATTCTTTAGATGACGTTACTCTAATTTTTTTGCATATTTACCACACAACAGCTCTTAGCCGCAGTGCAGTCACGCACAGTAAAATGATGTTCGATGCTTTTCTGTACATTTATCTGTCAACGTGTGTTAGTTTTTGGCTTGTTACAGTTATTCTGGAGACTATCAAGGAGTTTCCATGATCCTGTGGAAAGTTCCTACTTGTAACTTTATTTTTTCCGTGATGTCACGAGTAGTTATTTTGTGCCACATTCTGAACTGCCAGCCACAAAATTTTCGAAATTTCTCCTGCTTCTTCGCCAGGATTAGTTGTTTCACCAGCAGTGCAACCACTTATCCCCCTGTTACGAAGATGAACACACGATCTCTGGGACAGTAGGTGTATTATTCTGAGCTTTCGGTCTCGTACAGGAGGCCATCGTCAGAGACTGTGAGAATGAACATCAACCAATACTTCGGCGCCTTAATATGTAGTGTTGCCGCACAGACCCCTGAATCATGGAGTCCTACTGTACTAGCTTTTGAGAATTTGTGGGCTTCATAGCTGACGTCCGTGAACCTATGATAAACTTAATTTCCCATACTATCAAAAACAAATGCTACCAAGATAACATTCCTTATTCCTACTGAATCCCGTTCCCTCGTGCGACTGATAGAGTTACTGTGACGTAGTTATGTTAGCTCATTCCCCCTGGCCGTGCGCTTGCAGATTACATGCTTCAGCCCTCTTTTTATTACATGCGACTTTCTCCTCGTACTTTTTTCGTTGAAGCGAACTATTAACTTTTATTAGGCGCCCATTGATGTCGAAATAATGCAAGTAGTGTATTCAAAACCGAGTCACTTTTTTCTGGATGGTACTCCGGTACACTAGTGACTGGAAACCATAGCACTCACTCCCCTGTCCTGTGGACAGCCTAGGGAGAAAGGTACCGCAGAAATTTTGTTTTAGTGTATTGGATATCCCGATGCGGTCCGGCACATCTCGCGCCGCAGTGCGTGTGTTCACCGGGCCCCCGTCGAAGGGTTGATGAGGGCTATCTGGCTCCTCCATCCGGTTGCGTTAGTATTGTGTGGATTTCGCGCTTGCTTCTTGGGGTGAGTGAAACGATGATTACCAACCGCCCCAGGCATAGGCTAATGCTGAATGGTCCTATCTGACATTTTGCTCAGTGCAGCTAACAACCTTTTGGTAATTTCAGTTTTGCGTGATGGCAGATCCGTCGTGAACAATGGGGACTTGGCATCTTACGCAAGTGATCGAATCAGCTGCTGGCAGTATGCTTTATGACTTCGTCTGGCGTTTCTCTCGACCCGTGTCGGATGACTGCTGTTGCGTCGTACCACCCTTTTGACCTGGTCGTCTCCGTTGGTGTCACAGGAGTCGTCTATTGCTTAGGTACGCTAATTCCTTATGTACATAGTCATGTGTATTCTGCTATTCTA